ATATATACATATATATATATATGTATATATATCTTTGCGCGCATCGCATCGACATCACACAGATCGACCTTATTTGATCTGTAAATCGTCTTTTTTCGTTTTTACGAATCGCTTTGCCTTCCCTGTTATTTTTATACATCGTTTTTAATAGCTCCGTATCCTACACATCTATGTAACCTTGCTCCAAAATTGCTCTTTTTGATAAACTTCACTGCAACTGCGTAACCTCACAGGTTTCTTGCTTCCTTTTCCAAGTACTAACATATTAGACTAGGGTTTTGGCTTTAGTTTCTCAAATTCAAATGCGCTTGTCTGATACTGTGGAGGTCTTCTTCTTCGGGCCGTACCCCATTATGTCAGGGGTTTGACACCAACACTTCGAACGTGAGCCGACGATACGACTGCCATACAATACATCTATCCAGTTTCGGATTAAGATTGTTGACCTGGTCATGTATGTCATTCCAAATGAATTCTATTCCGGTGGTCTCACCCTCCACAGATGGTGAGTGCTTGTAATGTTATCTGCCGTGCAATTGAGAAATCTTTGTTTAACATACTAGTGCGAGATTACAAGAATATCTGTTCGATCTGAATGTTGATGTAACTTTTTCTAGGCTTAAAACAGACGATATCCATCATAACGTCAGCTATTTTAAAGTAAATATTGTAATATTAACAATCTTGCTTTGGCTCGTCCTAGATACCGCACTAATCGATGCCGTGTGATTGAAATAATTCTGATTTAACTGAAATAAAAAGAAGTTACCAGAACTAGAACTTTGAACTCATCGACTGTGAGAAGTTAGCATATTAGCATAATAGCTGTCGTACCAAAAAAAAGGAAAAGAAAAACGAGAATAGCAAGGTCACGTGAACAGCAAAGTCTTGGCTAGAAAGAGAACGTGACACGACGCACAGTGAACGGAAGCTCCTCATTAACGCAAGAAACCTCGGACGACACGGCCACTGGAGGTGCGCAGTTCTCCGCTGGCTTGTTCATGCTCAGGTCCAGTGGATGCCAACCTTGATCGTCGAATTTCATGGAATCGAAGTTGGTTGGAGAAATCTGATTGGAACACCCATTGACGATGACTCCATCTTTCACGCTCTAAATTCAAAAATCTCATCAACGGTACCAATACTTTTGGCAGTATTAGCATTAACATGCTTTTCTCTCATTTGTTCTAGATGACCCCTCATCACATCTACTGTGGGGATCACAGCACTTCTCGCATACGATTCGTTTTCCTCTCATTCATTGTCCACAAGGCTCTTCGAACATTAAGCGTCTTGTGTCGGCTGCTTCTTCAGGATTTCGCCTTCTTTATGAATGTTATAGAATGCTGGTGACTCGGTTCTCCTTGCAATTGTGGGGATAAGATGGACACGTAAATCGTTTGAAAGGCAAACGATGGTTACGAGCCGTCTGTGAGTGGATTTCTGGAGATGTCAAGCGTACTGCAGGACCGAGCCGATAGCCAGAGTTTCTCACGAAAAGCGTAGAGAAAGGTATGGTACTCAACGAATTCCTAGAGCAAGCAGAATCTATTGTTTTAATTTCTAATCTTGCACGCGACAGGGAAAAATGGAATATGGCGCCAGCTTCAATCACTCGACGATCAACGGTACGCCAACTGATATGGGTGGTAAAATTTGTTTGTGAGGACGAGAACATCGACTTTATATACTACTTAAAGTCTTGTAGGAAAATTTGCACTCAACCACCTCCACGAGGCTTAAGTGACTCGAATGCGCCGCAATTCCAAAAAGGATGATGAATGAAGAAAAAGGCTGATGGACTCCGAACGCCCTATCCTTTATTATGGCTATTCGCGTGAACGCTTATGGCCTAAGAGTGGTGAGGGTATTTTACAGGATCTAGCCATAACTAGTAGATAGAAGTCAAGATTTCTGCAACCACTAGGCAAACGTTACTTGTAACGTCGAGATTTTTATAATGAATTAGACTAGCCGTGCTTGCAAACGGTCAAAGACTCCCTCTAAATTAAAAGATTTGTAACTATTTGTGATGAATATCAGAGAACGCACCAGCACGACTATCTTACAGTGCTGGAGGATCAAATAGCTCACTAAATAATTCCACTGACACACTACATTCATCCGCCTAAGTAAATAAGCACAATAGTGACAAAACTGAAACTCTGGACTGACAAGCATTTAGCTAGGAGTCAAGAGGAGAGTCCGCTCCGAATTGACTCTCGCCATATGAATCATCTTCTCTCCACAAGTATGATGTCAAATTTGGTTAACACAACACCTTATGAAGAAGGAAGTGCGATCGATGGTCACGTAAACGATGGCAAATGTCCTCTATCCGTTGCTTTTGAGACCACCAGTAACTCGAGCTCTCGAGCTCACAGCGCAGTACCTCCATGAAAAATGAGTAGTCATCAAAATAGAAGCAGCTCTTGGCTGCTCGTTTCGTTCTGGTCGATGTGCATGAGCTACAACCACGCCGTATTTCCTATAATGCTATCCAGCAGAAACGGTCGATTTCTCTTCTCGGCTGTCGAGAGCGCAATTGCGCAGACAGCTAGTTGCTCGTACAACATGATGGCTCGAATTTGTCAGCCCTCCATTTACATTCAGCTCTTTCTTTCTCACTGAATCTATGTCATTTTACAAATTTGCTATAGAACATTCAGTGAATTGTTCCATATGCTAGGATAAATAAAAGCGATAAAGCTCTCGGCGTTGCTCAAACCCTGAGTGGATACGCCATGCATTCAACTTCATTAGGTATCGCTGGAGGTGATTGAATGCGTATCTGGTCCATATAATGAATCGAGATGACCTACCGATGTATCGAGCTGGCACTGTTATCATCCCAGATAAGTCTGGTACCAATTTGCCGACCCCGGAGGGATGGAAGGCATGGTGGGTCATGGGCGTGGGACCGATTCCACATGTGTGTTGCAGGGCGCCTACGACCACTGCGCCACATGCGCCCTATGCTAGGATATAAATTAGAAAACATTCGGAAGAAAAATTCGCAGATGTTTTGTTCTGGTCAAGTTTAAAAGTATAAAATGACTGGGCAACATTAACGTAAAGAACGGATGAGAAGATAAAAAATATGCTGAAAATTGGACTGGATAAACAATGATAATAGAATAGCAGCTAGAAAATAAATAGTAGCTTACTCTGGTACGACTTCGCAGATGCCTTCCAGAGGTCCAAAGATTCAATTTGTGAGGAAGATCATCAGTTGGAGCAACAGCACTAAAAATACCTTAAAAGAAATAAAATAAAACAAACATGATGGGAGATTACTGCCTTATTCAAGCAGTAAGATTCCTCAAGCGGTCAATTTCTTTTAAATTAGGTGTTTTTATCCTTTCTCCCAACGGTTTACCGCCTCATCGCCGCTGGGAGGTGTTCCTGGGTTCCGGACTGCGACGTACAGCGAGGGATTCATCCTCCTGGTAGGATCTCTCAACTGAGGAGTCCGGCGTTTCCATCAGGAAACCTAGCTAAGAGTAAACCAATACCAGGATCCACCACCGTCCTGGCATCAAAGTTGCATTCTGGCAAATCTCCCTCGGATCCACAAGGGCTGTGACTGTCTGTGATGGTGAAGACCTGAGGCAGACTTTGGCCAGGCTGACCTCGGGATTTCAGAGAAGCACAATGGTTTAGCCAGCAAATCTCCAAAAAATGGAGATCAACCTGGACCCCGCACAAACAGTGAGGACGGGCCATTCAAGTATCAAGTATCAAGTAAGTTGCTATCATTAATGATCAATTGTTCAACTAAACTAGCATTCGATTAAGGAAAAATGAAACTCGTTTTACCCGTGATCAACAGTGCATGTTCTATGGTTTGGTGCAAAAGCAACTACGGTTTCGGACCTCGAATATCGAACCGTTACAATGGGGTGCAAGCAAAACATTTCAGAATAAAAGCGATTATAATTTGCACGTCGGAAAGATATAACGCTTTTCATTTCGAGAGAGCTTCATTCTGAAGTTTTCGAAAGGATGAATTCTGCGAAGGTAATTTCAGTAGCGGTTTGGTTATTTCACATTTTCTCGGCTACCATTTGCCCACATGCTTGAAGAAACTGATGATTGGAAAGGCGGGAGATCCAACGAGTGCGGCGGATAAGGTGGAATTTTGTAGTCAACCTCGTTCCACTTCTGTATCATTAGTTGTGTGATCGAACGCTGTCGTGAAAAATGCTTTTGCTTTCTGTATTAACGGCACGTGTGGCGTAACGGTTGAAGACGTCACCGCGAAACACACGTGGAATCGATCTCTGCGCCCATGCCTCACCAAGCAGCCCATCTCTCCGGGGTTGGCACATTGATACCAGGCTTGTCTAGGAGGATAGCAGCAGTGGCTCGATACACCGGTGGATCACGGCGAGTCATTGTAAAGGCCATTATATGTATTCAATCACCTCCAACGATGTTTAATGAAGTCGAATGCATGGCGCATACCTCAGGGATTGATCAACGCCGAAAGCTTTATCCTTAATCCTTTATTAACGAAAGCTGTATAAGTAAACTGCAATTTCTCACACATTTCACTGACTTTGTGATAATAGTTCTTTATTATGATTGCCTCTCAAGGGCTTTCTTGGTTATTAATTCCATAGACGACCAAACAATAATCATAACTTTCTCGTGGTATAAATTCGACTTTGCAAACAGCTCAGGAACTTTCTTGCTACTCCGACACTGCATTAAACGTTGTAGATGAATGCTTCAGACCGTATAGACATACGAGTTGTAAAAGAGGCGAGGAACAGAGTCCAAAACGAGGACTTATTTGATTTTCATGAGAGATCCACTTAGCCCTTAATCTCTTATGACCACTTCTATCTTTGAAATTTGCTTCACATCCTGAACAATCGCAGAATGAACTGCAGTGAGGGTGACTTCATTTGTGCTTGTAAGAGAGTCAGCTTCGATGGTTGTTCCCAGTATCAACTTCCAATGGTCGGCAACCACGCTTCTTATCCTCAACGATTCTTTCGAACCCCTAATACAAAGAACGGTCGTTAGAAGTTCCTAGGCTAAACGCTTTGTTGATGCTAAGAGTTATCTCCGCCGCGAACCATTCTGAACTTAAATAAGAAAACTGCTCAGATTTGCTTCTTGTCTGACGTGAACTCCATACTTTAAGACACATATAATGTAGCAAGCAACTAATAAGTTAACTGCCACGACCGACTTTCTATTAACCTCGGCATTGATCAAGTAATTTTCTTCGTATTTTTGTTGAGCAAACGCGAGGTGTTATTATTCTTTGTTCACGATGAAGCTGACGTTTCGGCGGATTTCGCCTTTCTCAGAGCCTGGAAAGGTCAAGTTGATAGCAATCTACTCGGCCAGACGCCTCCATAACCAAACAAAGAAACTCTAAACCAAGATGTATTCTTTCTTGATAAGCTTGCACGAGGTTGATAAATATATTTATTTTCGGCTAACGTTTCGACGTCTTCGTCTTCCTCAGAGCCGGTGATCCGAGTTGATGGTCCATGCTTGTTGTTCGCCTCGACGTTGCGTCTTCGCCTTCGTGTCGAGCCAGATCTTCCTCAGTGAGCCATCTTCTCGAATGAGGCAATGATGTTTGTCCGGAAGAAATACAAGTTGTTACCACCGGACATTGTCATTATATATCCACCATCAGCATCGTGTAT